TCAATGTCACCTATATTCTCATTTGCAGAACACTTAAGCTTTAATTGATAAAATATTTCCTAGATTTTGTGATTTGAATTAGCTTGCATTTTATTGATTTCACCCATGCAAGTACTTAGCGTGCAGCTCTCTCTTGGTTTTTGAAGACACTCATCACTTACTCACATGATCACCTTTCCTACTCTTTGTCATTAAAAATACATGCTTTTTAATTTATTTATATTTTCTCAGAAGTACTGGCCTTTTAATGTTGTTTAAAAAGGGATCAGGGAAAATCATATTAGTAGGGAGAGTTCAGAAGTCTCAATTCTATTCATTTTTTGAGATTTCCTCTATACCTGTATACCCTCATCACCAGCTATATTCCAAAGAATCTCAAATGTATCTCTAGCCCTGACCTCTATTGTGAATTTTGAACCCCCATATATCACTGCCTGCTTGCATGCATCATGGGACCTCAAACTAACTTTCCCTAACTGAGGAAATGGTGATTTCATTCTCCTAACTGCTCAGTCACAAATCGTTACAGTTCTCCTTGATTCCTTCCTTTCTCTCATCCACCATATTCAATCCATCAGCATGTCCTGTTGGCTTTACCTTAAAAAGTATAGTAAGGATCAGATTATTTCTCATCATCTCCACTGCTACTGCCTTAGTGCAAGCTACTTTCATCTCATGCCTATATTATTTTGGCATATTCCTAAGTTGTCTTCTTGCTTCCATACTTGGTCCCCTACAGTTTATTTTCAACACGACAGCCGGCATGTTCCTGTGAAACTTTGAGTCAGATTGTGACACACCTATGCTCAAAATGCTCCTATGGCTTCCCCTCTATCTAAAGAGCAAATCAAAACACCTGATGATGGCCTCTAAGACCATCCGCAAGTTGCTCCTGAAACCTATCATCTTTTTGATCACAGCTTTTACTTTTTTCATCCCTGTTTACTTCACTCTGTTTGAGCGGCAATAGCGTCCTTGCTATTCCTCAAATGCACCTGGTATATTCTCACCTGGGGGTCTTTGCACTTGTCTAAAATGCTTTTTTCAGATTGTCCCCAGGTTTGCCCCTTTGTTTCTTTCAGATAATTTCTGAACTGTCACCTTCTTGATGAGGCTTTTCGCTCACTGTTCTTTAACGTAGTGACCCTCCCCTATTGACAGCACCCAGTGAAGAATCCCAAGCTTAGCAAGTCCTCATCAGTAAATGCTTATTGTACATTTTCAAAGGTTAGCTAGGGAGAGTTTAACCAGATTGATGGGAATGGATAGGAATGAGGGGGAGCAAGGAGAGAATTCCAGCTGGGTGAATGGCCAAATAAGAACTAAGATATGAGACCCCAAACTTAGAAATCATTCACATTCTCATGATACTTGTGAACAGATGATTTAACCAAAGGAGAAGATACAGAGGAGAAAGAGCCAGGACCCAGGATGGAACCCCATTTTGAGGAATGATGCAGTGAGCTAAGGAGAGAAATGGGGAAGGAGTGATCAGAGAGGTTAGAACAGATCAGAAGAATGAAGTGTCAAAGTTCAAGAAGAAGTGAAAATAATCATAATAATGTCTAACATTATTGAGGACATATTTAGTTCCTTTCTTATCTTATTTAAACTTTATTAGTTTACTTTATCCTGTTTTGACAGATGAGAAAACTAAGACTTGGGTCTTACAGTTAGTAAGTGATGGGGCTAGGAGTCAACTCCAGGTATAACTCCTCATCTTTGTCACTTTCCACAACCTGGAATGCCACCAAGAGGCAGGGAAAGCATTTTCAAGCAGTTGCACAAATGCTCTTAACTTAGTGGGAGAGTCTTGTAGAATATCTTTCCATAAATATAAAAAACAACCTCTAGGCGGTACAAGCAGATAGTTTGACCACTTCCAAAGACATAGAAATGGATACATTCGCTTGAGGACAACAGACTAAAATATCTTCAAAATATGATTGCTCTTTAAATGCTATAGTATTTACAGAAGAGTGCTTTAATTATTTTTTGAGTACCATATTAATGTCACAAATATTTATTAAGCTCATACTGTGTTTCAGGCATTATAATATGAACCAGAATTGTATAACTATATTGTATAAGCATAAGCATATTATATAAGTATATTGTATAAGCATAAGCATAACAGTATAAGTAGGTTGGAGAATTAAGGGAGCTAAGAGGTTCGATATGGATGGACCATTGGTCAGAGGTGTAAAGCAGTGTAAAAGACAAAGCTGAAGATTTTGGCAATGCCTTGCATGCCACACCAAGACCTCTGTCCTAAGAGGAATGGGAGGCCAGTATTGGGTTTAAGATTCTATTTGCATGTGAATCCAAAGAGGTTTGGGGAGGGTGGATTTGAGAGGAACCAAGACTAAATAAAGGCAGGAGTCAGATTTGGAGACGCTAATCATCTAGACTACTGCTACTCAAAGTATGGTGCCCATTGGCCAATAGCTTCTCACCAATCCAAGTATAAGAAGCGTATGCTGGATGTAACCCAGCTACTTCAACTAAACACACTGTTGAGTTTGGTTGACTTCATTTTCATGACAAGACTTTCTCCAAAAAAGAAGATGTGCTTTGCTGTACGTCCTGGACAGCCACTTACCTTGCAATGAACTCACTTCGAGTGGTTCTGGTCTACACTATTGGTCTTCAAATTCTTTCAATCTCACATATTAATATGTAAAAAATATCTGAGTATGTACCACTGACATACAAATAGTCATGAACCCTATACATATATTTTCGTAATACTATATTATATATACCATAACACACTAAACATACATTTTAATATAATGCAATGAGGATAAGTAATACATATTTTTAAAAGTTTCACAAAAGCAAAAGCAATGTTATCAAATATGCTTAATTAGTTTTGAAAATTATCTTTAACCCTTTTGGCTATGGCTGTTCAAAGTCTGCTTTTGGTTCAGTTTATTTTGATTTTGGTTTAAATGGCTGTCCTAGTTGAAAAAATTACCAAAGACAGGAATAGAGCAGGCTTCACTGCGTTTATTAAACTAAGATTCTCATTTTTCAATCTAATCCAGTAATTAAATACATGTTTTAATGACATTTTATATTTTCTGATGTCAATCAGTTGTTTTTGCAAAGTGATCTGGAGGTGTTTCATTTTCACATTTTATACACATGGATTTTAAACCTATTACAACTCTGTATTACTTTGATAGAGCTATGGTAACAAAATACCACAGATTGGCTGGTTTAAACAGCAGAAATATATTTTCTTACAGTTCTGGAGGCTGTAAGTCCAAGATCAAAGTGTCAGCAAGTTTGGCTTCTCCTGAGGCCTCTCTGCCTGACTTGCAGATGGCCACCTTCTTGATGTGGCCTCACATGGCCTTTCCTCTGTAAGTGCCCATCCCCGGTGTCTCTCTGTGTATCCCAATCTCCTTGTCTTATGAGGCCACCTGTCAGATTGGATTAGGGCTCACCTAACAGCCTCATTTTAATTTAATTACCTCTTTACAGACCCTATCTTTAAATATAGTCACATACTAAGATACTAGAGGTTAAGGCTACAGCATTTGAACTTAGGAAGACAGAAACAGTTTAGTTCATAACAAACTTAATTTGAAAGATTTAAAACAGGTTAAAATTCTATTTCTGATTTGAACCAAACAGAATTTTTATGGCATGATCATTTTTTAATCAGGAAAATCATATAATATGTGAATGTTTCCAAATACTTGTTTCTAAAGTCTTTCTCTAAAGCATACATTTCTTTCAAAAAGCAATGACTTTTCTTATTATTTGGTGAAATAGTACTTTAATCTTGAAGAAGCTGATATAAAAATGTTATTGAAAAATATCTTCCAGGTAAAAAATTATTGACATGGACTTTATCACAGAAAAGGTTAATACATTTTTCCCCACTTGTCTTCTTGTAAAAAGAAAAATGCATAATGCTTTTAAGTACTTTGCCATGAATTAACAGTGAACCCCCATGTAGCACAGCAGATTTTCAAGATCACTCTGACCTCTTATATGGATGGAGCCTATGTGTTAAGAGAACAGGACCTTAAACGCACTTACCTGGGTGCATTCAATCTGAAAGTGAAATGAAATTGTTAAAGGTAAAAGAGTGAAGGTACCCAGTGCTCAGGACTGTGGATCACTCACTCTTCTCTAGGAGGCATCCACCCACTACCTGACACCTGAGGGACAGTGGCTATCTATAAATAAAAGATTAATAAAACTTAATTTGTTCTTATTTAAAAATAAGTATAAATAGAACCTCTAATATTTCCTCTCGCCCCTAACAGATTATCTTGTGCATCTCTACGGTGCTGTGTTCCACTTTGGCAGGGACTAAAGTGGATGCTCAACGGTGAGATTCTAAACTGAGGCAAAACCAAGGGAATGAGGAAGGTGGCGATGATACAGAGGCTTCAGGGAAGCAGAATCAGTAGAACCTGATCACTGATCGGATGCGGGGGTGTAAATCAAAGGAAATGCACAAATAGGTATGTTTTCATGCTGTTTAAAAAATGTTTTTATTCCATCTTTCCCCATGATTGTAAGTTCTTCCAGAGATGAGTCAAACTATCATTTATATTCTTCCTTCTTTGTGCCAGGCATTGTGCAATGCACGTTCAGGTATATTTTCTCTGCAAAGACTAGAGTGCCTTCCATCTAGTTGTGGACCTTGCATTTAAAAATTTTTCAAACAGAATCTGCTCCATGAACAGAGCCCCTGTGAGCATGAACACCAAGGTGGCTGCCTTATCAGGCATCAGGATGGCATAGTGGAGCTTGGGGCCTTCTGAGTCTCAAAGGACAAGGACTTTCTTCCAAGAGGTAGCCTATGCAGCCAGGAAAAAAGGGACTTGCAGAAGCCTTTACCCAAGACAGCAACATTCTCTACCCCGAACATAAGGTTCTCCCCTAATGTCTCCATCTATTCCAAATAAGTAAAAAAAAAAAAAAAAAAAAAAAAAAAAAAAAGACTAAAATATTCTTTGGTATGTCTGACTCACAGCAAGCTTGGTCCACTGTATACTCCTCCAAATGCATCTTTGTCAATAACTGTCAGGTATTTGTTCTTGTTTAGGTAACTAGAGAGAGAGAGAGAGAGAGAGAATGAATTAGGTGATTTTAAGAAATCACACCAAATTAGTACAAATATCAAAATAAAATGTGACCATAGTATTGACTGATTTCAAGAATTTAGAAGATACTTTATCTTCTTCTGGCGTAAGCACTTAAAACATTCTAGGTTTCAATTGTATAAAGTTTATACACATTAATTATGGCAGAAGTTTTTGAAAATGAGCATGTTTATGATCTAATTTGCATACCTAAATTTCTTAAAAGTTGATTTAATTCTCTATTTTCCAGGCCAGTGGCAATTGTATTTTTTAGTCCTTTTTAATGTCAATCCTCTTTAATACCAAATTTTGTTTCTTAGTATTAATTAGTATTCCCATTTAATTTCGAAGACTAGGCTTAAATCAGGAATGGAATGAAGATGGTGAGGGTGGTGAGTGATGCTGAGGACTGTCGGAGATTCAGATCTTTTCTTTGGGTAAGGGTGTCACATTTAGCAAATAAAAATACAAGATGCCAGTTAAATTTGAATTTCAGATAAACAACGAATAATTTTTTAGTAAAAATATTCCCCATGCAATTTAAAAAATATTTATATTAAAAGTTATCTGTTGTTGATCTGAAATTCAAATTTTATTGGGTGGCCTGTATTTGATCTGACAACCCGATAGTGTGTATGAGGAGTGTTTATGAGATTACTCTGTAATCTTCTTTGTGCCAGGTATAGCCCAAACTTGGCCTCTTCTGGTAGTGGCTGAACACCCAGTATTCAGGGCATTGTTAAGTGTGACACAGGGAGAGTCAATAAGTCTCAAATACATTCAGAGACCTGGCTAAGATGCTAAAGCAGCCAATCTGTGCCTTCCCAGTGGCTTGAGATTACTGTGTAATCTAATCATCGACCTTCCATGGAAGAGCTTTGATGGGCACACTGGCCTTGCCATTTTAAAAACACACCGGGCATTAGAGGGTAAAATAGTTTTGGAGCAATTTAAGTTACAAAGTGATTTTGAAATAAAATTCCCTCCAAATGGATAAAAGCATCCAAGGATTTTGAAACTGGCCGTTTCCCCTTAACTTTATTACACAACAAAATTATCTAAAAAGAAGCATAGCACATATATATCCTTGTTACAAATGCTCCCAATTTATACATTTAGAATAACTCACAACATAACCGAGTCCACTTAAACATCAGCGAGTGGCCACCTGTCGATGCAAAAGAATATAGCAGAGACCCTTAGAAGGTCTGCTTAGATATGGCTAATGCTTCCATTATTCTGCTTATGGGGTCTGCTCTTCATGGTGGAACATTTTTAAGGGTAATGGTTAATAATAATATTAAGCCTTCAGTCAGAAAGATTTCTTCTCCAGAGCCCTCACAGAGAAACTTCCCTCCTGGTTAACTGGACCCAGACATGAGTCTTCATTGGAGCCGTGGGAGGAAGAAGAGTTACCAATCACCAGTGCCGAAAAAGTCTCTTCTTTCTGGGCAGGATGAGGGAATCACTAAATGATGTGTAAGTGCTGGGACTCCACAAAACGACATGTCATAAATTGGTATATATTTTTGGGTCTTTCAATTTTCTTCTTCTTCTTCTTCTTCTTCTTCTTCTTCTTCTTCTTCTTCTTCTTCTTCTTCTTCTTCTTCTTCTTCTTCTTCTTCTTCTTCTTCCTCTTCTTCCTCTTCTTCCTCTTCTTCCTCTTCTTCCTCTCCCTCTCCCTCTCCCTCTCCCTCTCCCTCTCCCTCTCCTTCTCCTTCTCCTTCTCCTTCTCCTTCTCCTTCTTCTTCGATGGGGTCTCTTCTCCTTCTCCTTCTCCTTCTCCTTCTCCTTCTCCTTCTCCTTCTCCTTCTCCTTCCCCTTCTTCCTTCCCTTCTCTTCTTTCTTCTTCTTCTCTTCTTCTTCTCTTCTTCTTCTTCTTCTTCTCTTCTTCTTCTTCTTCTTTCTTCTTCTTCTTCTTCTTCTTCTTCGATGGGGTCTCACTCTGTCGCCCAGTCTGGAATGCGGTGGCGTGATCTCTGCTCACTGCAATCTTCTGGGTTCAAGCGATTCTTCTGCTTCAGCCTCCTGAGTAACTGGGACTACAGGCACTTGCCACCACATCCAGCTAATTTTGGTACTTTTAGTAGATACAGGATGTCACTATGTTGGCCAGGCTGGTCTCGAACTCCTAACCTCAATTGATCTGCCCGACTCGGCCTCCCAAAGTGCTGGGATTACAGGCATAAGCCACCGTGCCAGTCCAATTTTATTCTTAAATAGAAATTGAGAACTACCTAATCTAAGGTACTCATTACCATTTTGCCTCCATACACTCTTTATTTCTTTCACAGCATTATCACAATCCATAATTATTGCCTTGTTTATTTACTTGTTTACTTTATTGGTTGTCTCCCCAACCAGAATGAAAGTTCTATGTCTATCCAGTGCCAAGTTCACCATCTCTACAACTACTTGTTGGATGAATGTGTGAATGAGTAGAAAATAAATCAATATACTTTTTCATCACGACAGTAAAATGGGCGGTGTTAAACTCTTAGGGTAACACAGATGATTGCTTTAAAGAAAAAATAATGAAAAGTGAAACAATAGAAGACTTGGCTTCTGGTGTGGTGGCATTTGACCAACTGTTCTTCCTGAGGTAGTGACTTTTCAGGCATCTGGTTTACAAACACCTCAAGGGTATAGCCCAAACTTGGCCTCTTCTGGGCTGAAGACCCAGTATTCAGGGCATTGTTAAGTGTGACATAGGGAGAGTCAATAAGTCTGAAATACATTCAGAGACCTGGCTAAGCAGCCAATCTGTGCCTGCCCAGTGGCTTCAATCACAGTCCTCACTTGATCATTGTTGGACTCTCCTTTAACCCACTATGTCCATGGAATTCCTTTGGTCAGTGACACCTGGAGTGGGCAAAATCCACCTTGGAAAAAAACAACAACTGCAGAGAAGATATTGAACAGCATGATTTTGTAAAAAGACAACTATGTTCAGTACAAGGGCTGCATGGCTTGCATCTCTTTTTGTATTCTCTGGACAATGCAGCTTACAGATCACATTCTGTTCCCAGGCTGTTGAAAATCAAGTAAGAGCCGGTGAACTCATCTCAGTTTTTCCTCTTCATCTCTAACTGCTGCAAGTGAAATTCAGCGTGTTCTTTCTAATCATTAGCAATTATTGTAAAACTAAATTATTGCTTGTGCAATTCTGCAGTGTTTTCATCTGATATTTAATATACTCCTGAGGATAAGGAGCCTGGTTGATAAGCATTGCAGTTTACCAGAAACTCTGCAGAAGACTTCAGACTGGAAAAGCCAGCCAGAGTCCAGGAGGGGAGGAGGAGGATGCAGAGGAGCCCCGGCCAAGCTGAACGGAGATGAACGGACACTTCCGGAGACTGTGCTCTCTAAAACCAGCATGGCCGTTTGGGTACTTTACCTCTTAGAGATAATTAGATGCTTAAAAGTGAAACCATCACTCTGCCTTCAGCAGATTTGAGGGCTGCCTCATTTGGCTTTTTAACCTTGCTTCAGCTTGCTGCTCTTGCCTTCCATCTGAAGTCAAGAGAGTGAGGAGGGAAAATACATATACAGAAGCCTTGATATCCAGGAAGAAAGTGCTTCCATCAACCTCATTTATCACATGATATTTCCTGGGATTATCAGTCTAGTTAAACTGATTCCTTGACCATGACTTACCTTGATTCTTCTGAAATCGACATCTGTACCCAGCTTGGATAAATCATTCACAAATCTTGGTAGGCTCTCTGGTTAGCCTACTCTAGACAGTGATTATTTTAGAGAGGAGTGATAATAAAAACTACCCCTTGCAAGGAGAAGATGAACATAAAGTAGCTTAAAAGAGACTCAAAAGGCTTGTAGTAAGAGATGAAAGGAAATACTTTTTGAAAGTCAGGGTTTCTAAATATTTATACTGGAAAGGGCTTATGAGAAAAGAACTGGTATTTCCTTTAAGAATAAGATAGACATGGCTACACTCTATGTGTTCAACAGCTTTTCACTGCTTGGGGCTTATTCCTCTTTGAGAAGCTGTTGGAAGAAATGAAGTTCTTCTGAGAAAAGAGATGTCAGCTTTTCCATACAGGGAGTTAAGAAGCCCTGCCCTGATTTAAGATTGTGAATAGTTCACACTTAGGGAAGACCAAGGCAGTCAGGAAAATGAAGGTGGTGAGGACTCAGCTGAGGAAAATATTCAATTGACAAAGTCAGTATTATGTGTATTATGTGTACAATATGTGTGTGTATGTATGCCCTTTTCTGTTGGACTCACTCTTGGCACATAGTGGCCATTCAATGAAGACTTGCTGGAGGAAGGAATGAAAGCCCGATTGTTGCGTGACTCCTAGAAAGAGGCACCCTCTACACCAGGTTTAGAAAAACGTGATCAATGCCAGAGAGAGGAGTGTGATGCCGTGGTAAGAGAATTTGCTATTGCTGCTGAACTTGGCTCTCTGGGGAGTTTTAGGATACATTTCAGCTCCAAGATGGGATTTCAGCCTGTGCCTCCACAGTCCCTTTAGGGGGAACTTGGGCTGGCCCCTGATTATGTTGTGGTACTCTCATGGGAACACTTCGGTGGGGAACCATGTTTTCCTCCCACAGCGTTGGTAATTCAGAAAATTAAACGAACCCCCTGCCTACCTCTCATGTTAGTTTAAAGAGAAGCTGGATTGCTCTATGGAAATCCTTTTGTAGCAGAAATCAGGACACCTGTTTGTAAATGTAACCTGTGAGAAAATACTCAAGCTTTCAATAGGCAGAGGGAAAAGTCAGCCTTAGAGTATATCCTGCAAGCTGTTCAAATACTTACCCCATGATAAATAATAGCCTTCTTAATCCTATAATCTTCTCTATCATTGTCTTTTCCCAGTGTGCCAAGATGTGGTATTTTACTTCGAATCAGCTAATGCATGATGCTAATTAGTGCATTAATTGTGTTGACTCTGTTTATAATAATCAGTGTATTGGTGGGCTCTTAGCACGTCAAAATGGCATTTTTATTCCTGCCTAAATTTTTACTGTCAGATAGTAGCTAGTTTCTAGAGTTTGACGGAAGGAAATGTGATACAGGGAATCAGACGTTCTGTGAGAAGCAACATATCCCCACGCAGATTGTGTGGAAAGAGGATGGAAAAGTGATTCCAAACAATGAATGTGTGACTTAACTTGTGACCAAGTACAGTTCAACTTCTGTTGAGCAAGGGATGCTTGTATTATTATTAATTTCACCTTCACCTCTGAGTGATGACAGCGTTCTTGGCACCATAGGAAGTCATAGGACAACGTGCTTTTACACATCTGCCATCATTTTCATGAAATCCTAACTAATTACTTGACTGCTGCTGCGGCATCAGCACTTGCACTCGATGTGGAATTTGTCCAACTTGGCTGTAATTGTATTATTCAGTTACATTTTAAAAAATGAGTGTAAATGAAGTCAATCTGCTAATTTCAGTAAACTGTCATGAAGTGGAATGATGGGGGATGATTACTCTTTTGGATGACACGTTGTTTAAATGAGAACCTAATGATATCTGGACAAACTTCTAGAGAAATCACCAAATTGCTAACATGTCATGTGCAATCCTTGAACACTATTAAGATAATTACAGGAGATTGATGTGTTTGCCTTAGTTTAAAATCACAATTAGCAATGAGACCAAAAGCAATATCCTTATGTTAAAAACACAATGTGAATACTATTTTATTATTACTATGGAACCTTGACCTCTCTTTCTTTCACCTATAGCTCAATCCTTGTCTTCCTCCAGTCCCAGGGCTCCTTATCACAACCATCATTTTGATTTTACATTGGATTTACATGATACCTTTTACTGAAGTGCTTAAATCTAGGAAAGAATAAATTTCTATTGACTAGGAATCAGAAACTTAGGGTAGAATGATGGAGTCTTGTTTTATAACAGGGGCAGTTTCCAGCTTAGATTCAAAATACTGATTAAAAAAATCTTTGTTTTCTATTATGATTGGATCTGCACTTTCTAATGCCAAATATTTTAATCCAGATACTTTTTATCTTGATCCCATGCTTGCCCTTTAACCTTTACCAGAAATTCAGAGAAACAGACTACATATTTTGCCACACAATAGTCATCCTCACTGAATACTTTTATCCAGAGGTCTACAAACTATGACTTTTCAGTCAAATCCTGCCTTGTCCTTGTTTTTGTAAATAAAGTTTTATTGGAACATAACCATGCTCATTTGTTTATATATTGTCTATGGCTGCTTTCACACTACAAAGGCAGACTTAAGTAGTACAACTAAGACCATATGTCCCATAAAGCCCCAAATATTTTCTTCTGAGAAAAAGTTTGCTGACCCCGATCTAGACTTTTAGAAACCAAGACACGAAAGATTCTTAACAAAGAAATAGTTTCCACATTTGTTACTCTCTTCCAAATAACTTTAATACTTAACATAAAAATGTCAAGAAAGTATTGTGAAATAGTACACTGATTTCTTTCCTGTGTTGCAAGAGATAGTTAGACAGTAAGTCATGGCACCAGTGAATTGAAAATCCATTGTCACTGACAGAATATCTCTGCTGTCAGCTAAGCCTCCCACAGAATCCATGATATGGTCTGAGGAGAAAGCTGGTGTGAAGGTACAGAGAGTCTCTATATATACAGCATATCCTCTAATAATATTGTCTCATTCACTATTGTTTAGTTTGTTTGTTTGTTTTCTTTTAGACAGAGTCTTGCTCTGTTGCCCAGGCTGGAGTACAGTGGTACTATCTCCGCTCACTGCAATCTCCGCCTACCGGGTTCACGCCATTCTCCTGCCTCAGCCTCCCGAGTAGCTGGGACTACAGACACCCACCAACATGCCTGGCTAATTTTTTGTATTTTAGTAGAGACTGGGTTTCTCCATGTTAGCCAGGATGGTCTCGATCTCCTGACTTCCTGATCCGCCCACCTCAGCCTCTCAAAGTGCTGGGATTACAGGCGTGAGCCACTGCGCCCAGCCTGCTTACTTTTAATTAAAAAAAATCCTTTCCGGGCTGGGGCTACTGTTTGTGTGAAGTGTGCACACCTTCCCCATGGCTGTGTGGGTTTTCTCCAGGTATTCCAATTTCCTCCCACACCCCAAAGATGTGCATGTCAGGTTCCTTGGTGTGTCTAGATGGTGCCAGTCTGAGTGAGTGTGGCGGTGTGTGTGGTCGTGTCCCATGTTGGGGTGACGTCCTGTGGACCTTAAGGTCTGAATTTTATTCTTTATCTTTAATAAATGATAGTGTTTGAGGGTCATATCTTCCAATGACTAAATATGGCAGGAAAAACAGGCAGATAATTTGAAGCATAGATTCTTATCTTGAGCTCCAAAATCTTTTGCTTGTGGAAAAATGAATGTTTTAGAAATGAATTACCCTATATCCCAGGTTTCAGGTTCTTTTTCTAATCCACCATTCTGGAAAGGCAGTTTTAGTTCAGGCAAGAGTCAGCTGAACACACTGAATTCAGGAGCCATATTAACAGCTCTGGTTTCCCTGGTTGAAGATTTCCTACTCTCTCCTATCCCTGCCCTTGCTAATATGAGTCTTTGTTGCCTTAATGCAACTAAACTTTTGATGTACTCTTTGTCTAGAACTGTGTGACAGTCATCTGAAATCTTTAAACCCTAAGTACCTACAAACTATCTTCATTATTTTAAGAAGTCTCCATACTCCATTCATAGAAAATTTGAATTTGAAGATCATCACCCTGAGAGTCATAGCTTTCTAGGAATAGTTGAATCAAAGAGGAAAATATTTGGTGAAATTCATACAATATTAAAATCAAATACCACCTTTCCAGAATGCTGGATTAGAAAAAGAACTTGAAACCTGGAATACAGGGTAATTCATTTCTAAAACATTAATTTTGATAATGATTTAAAAAACAATGGGATAAATCTAGAAAAAATCTAGCTTGTATCTCCAAAAAAGGAAGGCAATGTTATTCAATATTTAGGCTTCAGTTACTTTCTATCTGAGATGTATATTTTGGACTGGGTACACTTCTCCCTAATGTACTTTGACCTTTGATATTGCTGCCTTTGAGCTGACCCCACCAGAATGTACGCTCAGTGTGGGGAGTGAGCACATGGCTCCTGTTCATCTTTGTTTTCCCAGTGAATGGCACAGGGCCTGGTACATTGCAAGTGTCTAATAAATATGTTGAAAGGTAGATGAAAGATTGTAAGAAGTTAGTATTATAAAAAGATGGAAAGAGGGTCTCTCCAATTCTGTAAATAAATTTGAGGGGGTAAGTATCATCTTACTCTAGCGAGTCTTTTTAGACTTCACCTATAATTATGTATTAAAAAAGATAATGGAAATGAACCATTATGACTCCACAACCAGACAATCGAGAGAATGGTACTATGACTCTTCATTTCATAGAGACTGGTAGGAAGCACAAAAGCTAGCAAAGAGTGAGACTTCACTTCAACAGAACTCAGGGAGCCTTGCCTCCGTGTAATGAGTTCAAACATTTTTTTTCCATTTACCATTTAAAAATGAAATTGTTCCAGAACCTATCACCTAACCCCTAAACCAGAACATCAACCAAAATCACTTAATCTACATGCGTGTTCTTCTTCATCCAGAGCCACTGAATAGGGTTAGACAGCTTATTGACCTCACCCTTGCTACTTAAAGTGTGGTCTATGGACAGCAGTGTCGGCATCACCTGGGAGTTGGTTAGAAATACAGAATCCTGAGGCCAAATCCAGAGCTATGGAATCAGACTATGTATTTTGATAAGACCCCTCAGAGGGTCTGATGCCCAGGAAAGTTGGAGAAGCCCCGTACACAACAGATTTCAAGTCATAAGTCCTTCAGATTTTGCAGGGATCACTTCTGGAATATAAAATTACTATGTATGAAATGTTTAAAGTGAAAAAAATATAGAATTACAAAAATGAATACATAACAAGACACTACCAAAAATGAGCAAGTAAATTTGAAAAAACAACAAATAGAAAAAATGTATCATTTGTAAAGAAATACTCAAAAAGTGTTATAAAACACATCAAACACAAAGTCTGTTGTTTGCTGTTTCAGCTGTTCCCAGAATTATTTATTTTTTGAAAAGGCAAAAGTTGGATATGATTTTTTAGCTATTTCTGAGTGAATCAAATATAAACTGACATCTTTCCCAAAAACACGTCAGAATGGACTAAAAGAGAAATCACCTTATTTTCTGAACAGCTTTGAGCTTCATTAAAGATACCCTTTTACTTCATGTACATAATAGATGACCATTTACACATACACACACACACACACACCAGGGAGAAGAGCTTTGGAACTTACCATTGGAACTAATGTAAGTGTCCACTAAAGGGGGCCCCTGCCAAGTTCCTTGACCTCATTTCCGTATTGGTCACACTAACCCTGGGACGGAAGATGCTCTAGTAGAACCTATCTCTCAACAGAATTCTGCCCCATTGGGTGGTTCTTCTTAGGGTAAGGAGAAGTGACAGTTTTTATGTCTACCCTTGACTTACACAGCATCCAGCTTTGTCCCATTGAAAGCGTATCCTTGGATTGAAGTAAAGCCATTGTTGTACAGCTTCCTACAACCAACAGAGAGAAGAGAAATCAGTGACTGGTGAGCAGTGGTGCTGGCCTGTTTCTGGAGAGTTGGACTATATTTCTTTGGTGTCATAAATGTGCATAAAGGTGTTTCAGGTCCCACATATGTATCCCACGAGAAAATTTTCCAGTACGAGTTGTTGGAAACAAGATAATATTTCTCAGTTTAAATGCTCATTCTACCGACTTAGCTCCTAGTATGTTTAAGTTTTTTTCTCAGAATCATATTTGCTTTGAGTAACAAACTTGTTACCATTAAAGATTTTAAAAGAATATTCCATATACATTCAGAAAAAGGGATTTGAGGTAACAGTTAACCCAATATCAATAGTGGAGGTGCAACTGCAGTCTCTTAAGATAAACATTTTGAAAGACATTCATCTAAATGCACATGTTTTTATTTTTCCATTAATATTTAAATGTTATTTCACCTTTGTATTTTATCTATCTTTTTATCCTCAGAGCTTATCATAGATTAAATATTTAAGGGTTATGGGCTGAATTAAATTAAACCTCATAGATGAATTTAAGAAAGTAGACAGACCATGTCCTCTTATGGATTTTTTTTTTTTTTTTTTTTTGAGACAGGGTCTCTCACTCTATCACCCAGGCTGGAGTACAGTGGCTCAGTCACGGCTCCCTGCAGCCTTGAATCTCTCAGCTTAAGCCATTCTCCCACCTCAGCCTCTCAAATAGCTGGGACTACAGGCATGTGCCACCATACCTGGCTAATTTTTGTATTTGTTGTAGAAATGAGGTTTCACCATGTTGCCCAGGCTAGTCTCGAGCTCCCAGGCTCAAGTGATCTGCCTGCTTCAGCCTCCCAAGGTGCTGGGGATTACAGGTGTGAGCCACTGGGCTAGAAATGTTAATGTTTTAACTTGTTGCTATGTTTCTGTGACTAATTAATTCATTCAATGATTCAGGGAGCCATTCTGAAATCTTATTATTTCTATTTCCTATTGAAGTTACTGAAACATGAAGGTGACTTGCCAAAAACACATTGGTCTAAGACTGTTGAGACTTAGGGTCCCTGACTTCAAATATAATTTTTTTTTTGAGATGGAGTCTGGCACTGTTGCCCAGGCTGGAGTGCAATGGCATGATTTCTGCTCACTGCAACCTCTGCTCCCGGGTTCATGCAGTTCTCCTGCCTCAGCCTCCTGAGCAGCTGGGATTACAGGCTCCCGCCACCATGCCTGGCTAATTTTTGTATTTTTCAGTAGAGACAGGGTTTCACCATGTTGGCCAGGCTGGTCTCAAACTACTGACCTCAGGTGATATGCCTGCTGCGGCTTCCCAAAGTGCTGGGATTACGGGCATGAGCCACTGTGCCTGGCCGACCTCAAATATAATTATTTCCACCTACCAAAAGCAGCGCCTCTTTCTGCAGGAGAAGGAACCCCAGCCTTGAGATCTCTGGGCTATATGGGAATGCAAGAGGGTATTGGTGGTTATTGGCATGAAGATAAGAGAAGACAGCTATACCCACACTCAGGCACGGCTAGTGGGAACTCCTAGTGGCAGTTGTAAGGGAACTTTGAAAACTACAGTAATCTACCACATGTGAACTTTGGGAACACATTAAGAAGCACACAGGAAAGTTCAAATTTGGAATTAGACCTGGCTCTGCCACTTAATAGCTGGATGATCCTGAGAATTTATCAACCTGTCTTAACTTCAGTTTATCTCGAAAAATATGATAAATAAGTACATAAATATAACACCCAATCAAAAGGTTGCAGAGAGGATCAAATAACTATATATTTAACAAAGTGAGGAACACTTTTTAGGTGACCATCTTAAAAGGAGTTGGCGGGTGCCTGTAATCCCAGCTATTCGGGAGGCTGAGGCAGGAGTCTTGCTTGAACCTGGGAGGCGGAGGTTGTAGTGAGCCGAGATTACACCATTGCACTCCAGCTCTGGGCGACAGAGCAAGACTCTGTCTTGGAAAAAAATAATAATTAAAAAAAAATAAATGAAAGGAGTATCCTAAAACTTGGATTTATCCTATATAGTTGTGAGAAACTGAGCAAGATTCTCATGGCTTCGTTGTCGCTGTTGATGTGTTTGTTGTTGTGTTGATCTTAAATAATTACATAGTGAGTTTAATTCTAGCTACTAACATGTCCTGGGTGAGGATTGCAATATCCCAGGAATATAAGCACAATGGCTGAGAAAACTCTGTGGATAAGTTAATTTTTTCTAAACTAGAACTCTTTCATGAAGATGTGAGAATTGTGCATTTGGCATTTTTATTTTCCTAAATTTGTTGAGAGTCCTGGACACTAAAAGTACTTGTTTGAGTTGCATTTCAGATATTAAATAGAATTCTTAATGAACAAATCAGGCTTGAAAAGGGAACATGGTGAAGAAAGACAAAAGAATTACAAACTTTGATTGAAACTTTCTCCCACCAGGAATATGGTACAAAGTCAGCTGTTGGAACATGTATCCTTTCATTGTGATAGTTTTTTGAGCCTGAGCTTCGAAGAAGCAAGGACTTTTGCCAAAATGTAGAAATAATCATCTGAAAAGATCACGAATAATCCATGCTGTCCTCTCCTCCACTTTTAGGAAATATGGGCTTCCCTCACTCAGATGGGTCTGGAAACACAAGCTGGGCTCCATGCTGGGTGTGGGACAATGAGCTTTCACTTGAGGGGGGTGCTTGAGATATGGGGGTTTTAGAAAAATAGTGTCAAGGGGTAGAGGTAATATTCTATAAAGAAGTTTAGGCCGGGTGCGGTGGCTCACACCTGTAATCCCAGCACTTTGGGAGGCCGAGGCAGGCGGATCACGAGGTCAGGAGATCGAGACCATCCTGGCTAACATGGTGAAACCCCGTCTCTAGTAAAAATACAAAAAATTAGCTGGGTGTGGTGGCGGGCACCTGTAGTCCCAGCTACTCAGGAGGCTGAGGCAGGAGAATGGCATGAACCTGGGAGGCGGAGCTTGCAGTAAGCCAAGATCATGCCACTGCACTCCAGCCTGGGCGACACAGCGAGACTCCGTCTCAAAAAAAAAAAAAAAAAGAAAAGAAAAAAAGTTTAGCATGTAGGAGTTTCCTATGATGAGCACCATATGGCACAATGGAAAGCTTTACGGAGGAAGTAAATGGCTTTGAGGTTCATGGCTGAGCAGGCTAAAAGCCTGGATCTTTGCTGCATATTAAGAAGAAATTATGACCGAGAAGGAACTTCGTTTGTCTTTTCAAGAGACCTCTCACCAGGTTGTGATGAGAAGGAGCAGCCAAAATGCTCCCTTTTCCCAAAGTCGAGGCAACTTCACTGGGCCCAAATTGATAAACTAGGAATGGCTCAGAAAATAGCCCCTTAGAAGAACTGTGTGAAGCTTGGATCCGTTTTTCTGGGGAGTAATTTCATCAGGTTTTATCTGATAAAGACCCCCACCCCAACTTTAGTGTGAGCAGAGAAATGAAACTGGGGTGACAATCCAGGCAAAAACTTCACCAGGCTTGAACTGGGGCAGTGGTCCTGAAAATAGAGAGGAGATCCCACAGAGGTAGCTCCAACTCTACTTTGTGGCTTATACAATGAGAGAGGAATTTTCTACCAGCTTAGAGAATTAACTTATCCTTTATGCCTCTGTTAGATCTTCTCCTTTAGAACATTTTGTGAATATCCCTAATTAAGCATCTATTTTTGACCATCTAAAGGGCTTTGCCCCCATTCAAGCTCTGGAAAAATGCTGACCTATAGCAGCACTGTGCTTTCTATGTAATATTCCCTTACAGGAGCTTAATGACAGTTTGTGATTACTGAGTAAAAGTGCGAGTGCAGAATTTATAAAGCCCTTAGTGGCACCACATTTTTTTAACTCAGTGATCTTGGGAAAGTCACTTCAATTTGCTTAAACCCCAGTTCTTCTTCTGTAGAATGGGGATACTTGGATACAGATGATTATTCCATAAGACCTGCAGGCCAAATCTAGTCCACTGCCTGCTTCTATAAATAGAGTTTTATTGGAACACAGACATGCTCATTAGTGTATGTATTGAGTACGGCTGTTTTTGCCACACAGTGCCAGAGTTGACCAGTTCCTACAGAGGTTGCATGGTCTGTAACGCCTAACTGGTCCTTCACGTGAAAAATGCACCAACCACTGCCCTAACGGAATCCTCTTATCTTGTTACCTAAACTCTTTGGTAGTCTACAGAGTACCATCCCACAAGACAATACTCTTATTTAATTATATAAAACACTTTGTACTCTATAGAATATATATGATACGGCAGTACGGCTCTTGGATGGTCTGTAAACATATGAAAATGGCTCAAAATAGAATTTAGTTGATGGAGGGAGTAGAACTGGTAATACTCACAGTGTCAAGGTTTCATTGCATAGTCCCTGAAAAGCATTCACAGGGATTGACGTCATGTAAGGGTTGTCTGTAATTTCACTGCGAGAGAGGGACAAAAACACTTAATGAAAAAATGTTTTCCTCCTGGAGCAGGAGTCTTGCTGCACATATGCACTTAAATAAATAACAGGACACAATATAGCTTAATCTTATTTCTTTTTAAGTTTCACTGACCCTTCTTAACCACTAGTGGCTCAGAGGTCTGGTGAGGTGGTGAGAGCTGTCCTAGATGACATGCACCTGGAGCCCAAGTGTGGGGTAAGCGAGAGCTTTAGGTGTGGGTAGAGGTCCCTGACTTAATCCTCATCTCGAGGGAGGCAGATGGATTTCAGAGGCTTCTCCTGAATCTGCAACACTTTGTCCACAACAACTAGAGTTTTCTACATGCATGGACCTTTAAGAAGGTCAGGATAAAAGGATTAAACGATTTCATCTAATGAGTATTTCTAAAATGTCCTTCACTTGCCAAACTTCGCCAGGCTCCTGGAGAACCTTTCTACGCCATCCTAGTTTCTGGAATATTGCTTACATTTTGAACTGAGCTCGTTTGCAACAAAGAAGTATGATCACTTTTCTTTTCTAGCAAAACCCCAAGAGTTTGAAGCTTATCATTCTACCTTTTGCTGACTTTCTGATGCAAACGCAACTTGTAATTCTCTCTGCCCTATGTCCTTTCATTCCTATACAATTAGTAAGACAACTGACCTGTGTCACCAGCTTTGAAAAAGGGCACACGGCTGCCAATCAAAGGTCACAGGCAGTAATTTGAGTAACCACCCCTGACTGTCCTTTGAGACACTGCTCAGGCAAACTCACTTGAGGTTTCTATTCCTCAGTTTCCTCATTCATAAATGGAAAAGCAATAACTTTGTTTTATACCTTATAAGGTGACTGAGAGGAGCAAATGTCATGTGTGGGGAAAGTATTTAAAAAACTATTAAAACTATATGAAAAGTAAGGTATCATAGTTATCATCAAATATTCTTTCTATTCAACCATTCCCATTGGCAAAGAAACATCGCATAATTTCTTCCATTTAAAAACAAAAACACACAAACAAAATCTTTTCTCCTGACTCAATATCCTCCAATTACTGAGCTATTTTCTGCTCCTTTTAATAGTAAAACCTCTCAAAGGAGTTAATTATGGTAACTCTTTCTAATTCTCTCTACCCAAATCTCCCTTGAGCCCACTCCAACCAGCACTCCACTGGAACTGTTCTTGGCAGAGTCACCAACAACCCACATTGCTAAAGCCAGGGGTTATTTCTCAGTCCTTGCCTTACTTCATGCCAGTGTAGTCACAGGTGATCACTGCTTACTCCTTGAAACAATTGCTTTACTTAGCTTCAACCAACCCCCATGACTGTATTTTAGTTCTTGTCAGTGACAAACAAAATATTGTCAAACATGGCACGTGTGCATACTTACAGTATAAAGAATATATCAGTGGAATAAACTTTGGTCAGGTCAGGGAACATTTTAAGTCCAGTGTTGAAAATGCCACTAAATTAATGAAAAAAAGAGGGAAAAAAAAGCATAGAATTTAGGTAAAAACATCAGCACATAGGAAGAAGAATGATGTAATAGCTGAAAGCATGGGTTCTGAAGTCAGCCTGTAGTCAAATGCCCAAATTCTTCACTAAATATCTGAGTTACTATGGGCAAATTCTGATGGTTGGATGAGATGATATTCCCCCAAGGCACAATCATTAATCCAGTCCACCAATGTCAATACATCTGCTTGGCTTAGAATACTCTGGAGATTGTTTTAACTGTGATTACTACAAATATAAATTCAGTTTTCGTGTGTGTGTGTGTGTGTGTGTGTGTGATTTTCTTGTTTAATTGGAAAAAATTATGTGTGCGTTTGTGAAGGGCTAAGAAGAGGATGGGACAGGAAGATATGACTTTAAGCCAGCTTCATCTTTCAAGCTCTACATTATATTGTGCTGTTATTTTGCCAAGAATAGCTTTCCTACAGCAGTAACCTGAGAGTACCATTATAGCAGTACCATTAAAAAAAAAAAAATGTCCAGAGGGCCTTGCACGGTGGCTCACACCTGTAATCCCAACACTTCGGGAGGTCAAGGCAGGTGGATCACTTGAGTCCAGGAATTCAAGACTAGCCTGGCCAACATGGTGAAACCCTGTCTCTACTAAAAATACAAAAATTAGCTGCGTGTGTTGACGTACGCCTGTAATCCCAGCTACTTGGGAGGCTGAGGTATGAGAATCGCTTGAACCTGGGAGGCAGAGGTTGCGGTGAGCTGAGATCACGCCACTGCACTCCAGCCTGGGTGATAGAGCGAGACTCTATCTCAAAAAAGAAAGTGTCCAGAAAAGGAAGGGAACAAATTAAACACAATGTCTTCACCTTCCAAAGTTTATATCATCTGCAGAAAAATGTTAAGATTAAAAGACATGCATAAAACACCATGCACACAAAAATTCTCAGGCTCCTGATGCCTCCCAGATTTAGTTGGTTTAACATTTGTTGCAGCTACTTGAATTATTTAGAATTGTTTTTTGTTGAGAATTTGGCATGGCATAGAGCGAAACCTAGACACTACCCAGTAAGGCTTAGGGAAAGTCTTCTGGTAGAAAAACCATATCTATTGATACACCTTCTGAGGCAAATTCAGACTTGACTCCTTCTAGAGAAGAAGGCATAGGATTTGAAGAGGCAGCAGGAGCCAGAGGTCTCAAAACAAGCAAATGGGAGGGACATTCCAGATAACTAAGGAGAGAGGTGAGATTCCATAAGGTATATTTGAAATACAGTAAACAAACTAGTTCAATTGTAATCACTGCTCACGAAGAATAGTAGGAGGAAAAAAGGTCCAAGAGTCAAGTGGGTCCATATACTTAGACCAAGACCTTTCTAGTCTTCAAAAACCTCAAACAAATCCCTTAAAACCATCCTGTGGGTCTTCTTTCTGATGTCTTCTCTAATTACCTCAACCCCCAAACACTGTATATGTCTCTCCTTTGTCACTTTCTATTATTCTTCTGTAGGAGAGGCACTTTTCAATTTCATACACATCTCCCCAATGAGATTGCAGGCAAGGACAATGTCTTAGAAACCTGTATGTTCCCCACAGAGCATAGAGTGGGGGATCATCACATCAAAGGGTTATTATATTATTTGAAACTCAGAGTCCATAAGAAGAGTGATTGTCTTGTCCCATATGTTTTCATGGCTTTCCAGACATTCTTTCATCTCCATATGCCATCAGTGTCTTCTATTCCCTTAGCATCTCTCACACTCACCTCTTCAATATGCAACTATTGGCTGGGCGCCGTGGCTCTTGCCTGTAGTCCCTTTGGGAGGCTGAGGCGGGTGGATCCCCTGAGGTCAGGAGGTCGAGACCAGCCGGGCCAACGTGGTGAAACCCCATCTCTACTAAAAATACAAAAATTAGCTGGGCGTGGTGGTGCATGCCTGTAATCCCAGCTACTCAGGAGGCTGAGGCAGGAGAACCGCTGGAACCCGGGAGGCGGAGGTTGCAGTGAACCAAGATCGCACCTCTGCACTCCAGCCTGGGCAACAGAGCAAGACTCTATCTCAGAAAAAAAAAAAAAAAAAGCAACTGTTTTTAGTTCACCAAAGAAGCTTTGTGGATCCCTGTCTTTGTGTCTTTATCATGCTATTCCATTCAACTAAATTTCTTTTCTATCTCTCCCCATTCTTGTTCAGGATACCCTCTATTCATCCTTAAAGGCATATCTCATAAGATATCTATGATTACATAAGTTTGTTTTAAAGGTCTGGATGAAGATGAACTGAAATGTTAGTAGGGCTTATTTTGGGGTATTGGGATTAAGTTTTTAAAAATTTTTCTTCTTCATACTGTTTTTGTTTTCTAATTTTTATAATGCATGCAAGCAGGATAAAGGACTCTTCCACCTGGTATCCAGAGGACCTGAGGTCATACAGACACATCCACTGAACACATTTTACTCTGTACTAGGCAGTAAAGACTCAACAGGGAAAAAAATGTTGTGGTCCCTGTATTCATGGAGCTTATGGTTAGCTCATAAGGTGTTATCAAAGCAAAGCAGTGATAAGAAGAGTGATTATTACTCCCACTCCAGCAATTGAAGTGGGAGGCTGAAAATGTTGTCCCTTCTGTTTTCCCTCCACTCCCCACAAAAGTGCATTTTGCCCTTTGTGGTTTTCTTTCCTGTGTAACAGCCCCTCTAATATTGTTGTGATACCCCTTTTCAAACAAAATTGACCAACTGGCTCTCAGAGTTTTGTTTTGTTTTGTTCTGAAATACTACATTTAAGGACCACATATACACAATAGCATTTTCTCTCTCCTGTTTCTTGGAGCGGGTCTCTGGTCCCAGCACTATGTATTGACTTTTGAATAGGTTTTAAAAATGTGGACCGTTTCACCCGATACCTTGCCCTGACCCAGGCTATACACCATTAAAATGAACCTGGACCACATCATCCTAGGGAGATTCCTGGGAGACAACAGCATTAAATCTTACCCCCCCCTCAAAAAAGTAGGATGGGAGAGGATTTAATACTTACAGGAACTTTAGGAGCGGGAGCTCTTTGAGGGCATCAGGGTCTATGTAAGTTAAGCTCCTGGTATTCCGAATTTCTCTATATAAGTTACAAGGAACACAGTCACTATATTACATCCGTATCTGTTCTTATCAAAGACAAAACAACATAAATCAGTTTTAACAAATGTTCATGAGAAAAATTTGCATTTATGTGGTACCACAGGGACTGTAGCTGCCAGGGGTCCCATCAACAACAAACTACTCCTGTCTCCTCATGGGGACCCAATGGCTGGTCAGCTCTCTTGTGTCATTGGCTTGGTTTCCACCCATTTTAATTTATGGGCTGCATTTTTCTTAATTGTAGTATCAGTTTTTTTTTTCTTTTAGATTTAGAGAAAAAAGAAAAAACCCTCCAATGATTTGGTGAGGAGTTGAAGACAAATATCTTTATTATTTATAAGTATTCTGGCCAAGACAATGAGTGTTGGAGTGGGAGGTTGAGGGAATTTTATGCTGAATCACAGCATAGCAAGATGGGCAGTGAGGCTCTGTCATTGCCACACCAGATGTACAGAAGTGGTACGTCTTCACAGTTCACTTGTGTTTATTTTGTCATGTCAGCAATTTAAGACTCTTCTGCATGTATAGTGTGATATCATGTGTCAGTAACTTACATACTTAGGTTTATATAAATGCTGAGCAAGAATGCACAGTTAGAGTTAGAGAAATAAGTGACTGCTAGAAATGAACTCTCACTCGTTAAATTAAACATATTCAACATAGGTTGATTGGCTAAAAGAGTTTAAGGCATTCCTTATGCTTACCTGAAAAGTATATAAGAACCCAGTAAACCTTTAGCATTTCTCCTTAGGAATGGCACCTAAAGGAACCAGCATCCAGTCATTGGCGGTGCCAATCAGAAAGCTTAGAATGTGACCTCTGTAATTTTTAAAGTTTTATTGAAAAAGAATTTACATTCTATAAACTTCAAACATTGTATATAGGCATACAGTTCAATGATTTTTAGTAACATTACATAACTGTGAAACCATCATCACAGGTTAGAACATTTCTATCCATGATAAAAGTAACCATAGGCCCATTTGCAGTTAGTTTCCACTTGCTCCTTTATGCTTAGAAACCACTGATCAGTTTTCTGTCTTTATAAATTTGCCTTATCTAGACATTTCATGTAAATGGAATCATATAACAGGTAGTCTTTTGTGTCTGCCTTCTTTCATTTAGCATAATATCTGTGAGGTTCATCCATGTTGTAACATGAATTAGTAGTTCATTCCCTTTTATTTCTGAATAGCCAGATGGACTTGAGATAGAATCTTGGCTCTGCCACTTCTGATTATATGACCTTGGACAAGTTTTTTGGCCTCTTTGAGCCAGAGTTTTCCTGTCTGTAAAACAGGAACAATGAATAACACCTCTTTTGTGGGGCTCTTGTGAGGATTAAATAATATTCATGAGGGATTTTATATTTGGCCTTCACATAGTTAGGGCTCTATAAATAATGTTTTTATTATTGCTATTTTCATAAGTGCAATGAAAGCTAGAACAGACATCAGGGACTTGGGATTGGAGATGTTGTGACATTCTTGCAAAATTAGAAAAAGCCCTCTAGTTTTTTTCAACTAGATATTTCAACTAAGGACACTGATTATGAAATAGACTTTGGAAAAGACAGGATGGAGTTAACTCTGAGAACAGAAATCACCTACCCCTGTCCTCCCTACACACACAGCTTACTGTCTATAATAATATACCCTTACTGGTCCATTGTCCTCATTAACATAACTACTATTCCAGGAGACTCTTGCCCAGGCAAATTGCTTTATTGTTCATTACAGAGAGTTTTTGAAACAAAGAACCATCAACACTTCAACAGAAAGCAGCAACAGTTTATACCCCAAGATCTTAAAACTCCTCACTTCCAAATCCTAAACTACTAGGTCATGATTTTTACCCAAACAAGACCCTGCATGGAAAGACCCTCTTTAGACAATCTTTCATTTTTTATCCTGGCTTTAAAATGCAAGCCCATATCCTTGGAATTCCCTCTGTCCTGAGCAAAGTGTGACAGTTGGCCACCCTACTCCAAAATCTCATAATTTTTCCACCTTGCCCCTCTAGAGACTATCAGTCTCTGCTGAGGTGGTTCACTCTTTCCAGGGTGAGCCATAAACTCCTTGCCAGAGCTTTCCACTGGGGGAGGAGGGTTTGAACTTCTGTCAGAGACAAACAAATGTAAACCAGGTGTGGGAGTTTGGAAATTGAGCTGGGTTTGCAGTTGGGAAAATTGCTCCACAAGGGACTACGGTTGAACAAGTAGTCTTGAGTGAGTGGTCTGAGAGAACATCACAGTTAAAGAAAATGCAGCCCACCTGGGTCAGCTGAAAAGGTAGAGAATAAAAAGGAAAGGAAATGCAGCTGCTAGAAACAGTTGATTCAATGAGGCTGGCAACTTACCTGGAGGCTGGAAGAGGAGAAATGTGGGAGAGGCAGCAAGGAGAGAGAAGGAAACATGAAAGAGGAGAGGATTTCTGGAAGGAAATGTAGGAGCTACAAAGAAGAAAGATGAATCAGAGACCTCACAAGAAAACAGCAGGGAAAAGAAGCTGCTTTCTGAGGTAAGGCAACAGCTCACCACTTGCTTACAAGTGACTTTTGAAAACTATCTCCTGAAGCAGAGAAGGGGTGGAGTGGTCGTAGACTGCCAGTAGTTTAGCTAAATGGAGAGAGATAACAGCTGGGCACGGTGGTGCATGCCTGTAAGCACTTTGGGAGGTCAAGGCAGGTGGATCACTTGAGGTCAGGAGTTCAAGACCAGCCTGGGCAACATGGTGAAACCCCGTTTCTACTAAAAATGCAAAAATTAGCCGGGCGTGGTGGCTTATGTCTGTAATTCCAGCTATTTGGGAGGCTGAGACATGAGAATCACTCGAACGCGGGAGGCAGAGGTTGCAGTGAGCCGAGATTGTGCCACTGCACTCCAACCTGGGCTACAGAGCAAGACTCTATCTCAATCAATCAATCAATCAATCGAGAGAGGTAACATAAGAAGCAAACGCAGCTAGTAAAATCTTTTCAAAGACAGGAGGAAAGGAAGGGCAGAAGTGAGTACAAAAGAACATCTAATCAGAGAAGGGTGAAAGAAGCGTTCAAATTTGAATGTCTTCAAGCATGCCTGTGAGAGTGAATTTAAATCACACCATTCTGAGTTAAGCAATTATGGCCTGAGTGTGCAGGAGGCTAGCTATGCTGCCAGAAAACTGGAGACATTGGAAGAAAGAAAAGCGGTTTGTAATTCAGCACACTAGGAATGGAGATGCCCTCCAGAGCTGAAGATGGCTGTGCCTCAAGCAACTTGAGGCCCTGAGTGATGATTGCCTGAAGGTGGCTGCTCTGCACACCCACTCATCCATCCAGTACTGTCCCATGAGCAAGAAGTAAACCTCACTCACTTAGGGCTATTACATGTCTGTATTTTTGTCTATTTCTTATAGTAACTCACCTGCCCAAACTAATAAGCATAAATAAAATTCCAAAAATATAGAGTACTCAGTTCACAGTGGTCACGTCTAGTAGATAGGTTTAAAAAGAAGGAATGTGTAATTTTCACTTTTTATTTTATATCAATCAAAAAAATGTAATAAAGAGGATGCAAAAAATCTCAAACTTTAAAAACAAAAAAGTAAAGCTTGATATATTCTATATAAAAAATAACATTAAAATATATGCCCAGATAGGCTGCTTAAGTATGCTGTTTTATGGAACAAGGCTCTTTTTCTTTGTTGGGGAAATATGCAAGGCTCTTAAAGCATATTTATTAGAAAAATTCAGCTTTGGAAGATGATATGGTCTGGCTCTGTGTCCCCACCCAAATCTCATCTTGAATTGTAATCCAAATTGTAATCTCCACGTGTTGGGGGAGGGACCTACATCTCATCTTGAATTGTAATCCAAATTGTAATCCCCACATGTTGGGGGATGGGCCTCGTGGGAGGTGACCAGATCATAGGGTGGTTCCCCCATGCTGTTCTGATGATAGTGAGTGAGTTTTCATGAGATCTGATGGTTTCATAAGGGGCTCTACCCCACTTTGCTTGGCACGTCTCTTTCCTACTGCCATGTGAGAAAGAACCTGTTTGCTTCCCCTTCTGCCATTATTGTAAGTTTCCTGAGGCCTCCCCAGCCATGCAGAACTGAGTCAATTAAACCTCTTTCTTTTATAAATTATCCAGTCTCAGGTATTTCTTCATAGCAGCATGAATACAAACTAATACAAAAGATTAAAGGGTAAAAAGAAACAGTGTACTTTTTTTTCACCTGGGGGAAGGTGTGAATTTCCTCCTAGTGAGGGAATAACATAACTGACTCATGTGACGCAGGTAAGGATCATCCTGATTTTGCGGACAAAACTATGGAGACATGGTTTGAAAGGGCAAGTGAATAATCTCCTGTTATACGCTTAGAGGCAACACTGGGCCTTTATCTAGAACTTATGACTTCAAATACAGCCTTTTTTTTTTTTTAAATGATGTTTCAAGGATATCATCTGGCAGAACTAAAAATATATGTAAATATTCATTGTCTAATTCTCCTTCATTAGATTTCAAATAAAATAAACATTTAAATGAAAAGTGTAACACTGCTGTCCAATGTTCAGTTTTCACAAATCAACAGATCAATAATTCAGCATGCATTTAGGTTCACTTAATCACATGTCTACATTCTGGGTTTTTTTTTCTTCCTCTAAGAAACATTTATTAATTCTCAATAAAAGCCAGGCACAGGACAATTGGCTTTCCTGTTACAACTAGTACTGCGGCAGGCACTCAGTCCCTGCGTCCACCCCTCATACAGTATATGGGAAATCGGCAGGGTGAGAGAAGGGAGTTCTCAGGTGAGGGAATGAGGAACAGAAGAAGGGGAAAAGAAGACTTAAAGTCTTCTGTTAAGGAAGACTTCTTTTTTCCAACCACTAATTTCCTTCCATTTTCCTAGTGTACCCCTTCCAACTCAGTTATTCAACAGGCATTGGGTTGTGGCATTTGACTGTGCTCCTCAGCCTGGAGATATTTCCCC